ATAGAGTTATGCTCTGCTGAGAGAAAGCGAATAGTTCTGGCCTAGGATTTAATTGTGTTGCCTAGACATTTACAAGATCTAATAGAAACTGCAGAGTTCCCATGTCTAGACCCAAAAGTTTTTTTTTTTGAATATTTCTAAAATAAGTAAAAAAATTGCCAATTTCTATAATAGAGTTATGCTCTGCTGAGAGAAAGCGAATAGTTCTGGCCTAGGATTTAATTGTGTTGCCTAGACATTTACAAGATCTAATAGAAACTGCGGAGTTCCCATGTCTAGACCCAAAAGTAATTTTTTTTAATTTATCTAAAATAAGTGAAAAAATTGCCAATTTTCATCATACAGGTATGCTCTGCTGAGAGAAAGCGAAGAGTTCTGGCCTAGGATTTAATTGTATTGCCTATACATCAAAAAGATCTAATAGAAACCGCGGAATTCTCATGTCTAGACCCAAAAGTAATTTTTTTTTGAATTTATCTAAAATAAGTGAAAAAATTGCCAATTTTCATCATACAGGTATGCTCTGCTGAGAGAAAGCGAAGAGTTCTGGCCTAGGATTTAATTGTATTGCCTAGACATCTACAAGATCTAATAGAAACCGCGGAGTTCTCATGTCTAGACCCAAAAGTTTTTTTTTTTTTTAATTTATCTAAAATAAGTGAAAAAATCGCCAATTTTCATCATAGAGGTATGCTCTTCTGAGAGAAAGCGAAGAGTTCTGGCCTAGGATTTAATTGTATTGCCTAGACATCAAAAAGATCTAATAGAAACCGCGGAATTCTCATGTCTAGACCAAAAAGTAATTTTTTTTTAATTTATCTAAAATAAGTGAAAAAATTGCAAATTTTCATCATACAGGTATGCTCTGCTGAGAGAAAGCGAAGAGTTCTGGCCTAGGATTTAATTGTATTGCCTAGACATCTAAAAGATCTAATAGAAACCGCGGAGTTCTCATGTCTAGACCCAAAAGTTATTTTTTTTTTTAATTTTTCTAAAATAAGTGAAAAAATTGCCAATTTTCATCATACATGTATGCTCTGCTGAGAGAAAGCGAAGAGTTCTGGCATAGGATTTAATTGTATTGCCTAGACATCTAAAAGATCTAATAGGAAACGCGGAGTTCCCATGTCTAGACCCAAAAGTTATTTTTTTTTTAATTTATCTAAAATAAGTGAAAAAATCGCCAATTTTCATCATAGAGGTATGCTCTGCTGAGAGAAAGCAAAGAGTTCTGGCCTAGGATTTAATTGTGTTGCCTAGACATTTACAAGATCTAATAGAAACTGCGGAGTTCCTATGTCTAGACCAAAAAGTTTTTTTTTTTTGAATATTTCTAAAATGGGTGAAAAAATTGCCAATTTTCATGATAGAGGTATGCTCTGCTTAGAGAAAGCGAAGAGTTCTGGCCTAGGATTTAATTGTGTTGCCTAGACATTTACAAGATCTAATATAAACCGTGGAGTTCTCATGTCTAGACCCAAAAGTTAATTTTTTTTTGAATTTTTCTAAAATAAGTGAAAAAATTGCCAATTTTCATCATACAGGTATGCTCTGCTGAGAGAAAGCGAAGAGTTCTGGCCTAGGATTTAATTGTATTGCCTAGACATCTAAAAGATCTAATAGAAACCGCGGAATTCTCATGTCTAGACCCAAAAGTAATTTTTTTTTGAATATTTCTAAAATGGGTGAAAAAATTGCCAATTTTCATGATATAGGTATGCTCTGCTGAGAGAAAACGAAGAGTTCTCGCCTAGGATTTAATTGTATTGCCTAGACATTGAAAAGATCTAATAGAAACCGCGGAGTTCTCATGTCTAGACCCAAAAGTATTTTTTTTTTAATTAATCTAAAATAAGTGAAAAAATTGCCAATTTTCATCATACAGGTATGCTCTGCTAAGGGAAAGCGAAGAGTTCTGGCCCAGGATTTAATTGTATTGCCTAGACATCTAAAAGATCTAATAGAAACCGCGGAGTTCTCATGTCTAGACCCAAAAGTTATTTTTTTTTGAATTTTTCTAAAATAAGTGAAAAAATTGCAAATTTTCATCATATAGGTATGCTCTGCTGAGAGAAAGCGAAGAGTTCTGGCCTAGGATTTAATTGTGTTGCCTAGACATTTACAAGATCTAATATAAACCGTGGAGTTCTCATGTCTAGACCCAAAAGTTATTTTTTTTTTAATTTATCTAAAATAACTGAAAAAATTGCCAATTTTCATGATAGAGGTATGCTCTGCTGAGAGAAAGCGAAGAGTTCTGGCCTAGGATTTAATTGTATTGCCTAGACATCTAAAAGATCTAATAGAAACCGCGGAGTTCTCATGTCTAGACCCAAAAGTTATTTTTTTTTTGAATTTATCTAAAATAAGTGAATAAATCGCCAATTTTCATCATAGAGGTATGCTCTGCTGAGAGAAAACGAAGAGTTCTGGCCTAGGATTTAATTGTGTTGCCTAGACATTTACAAGATCTAATATAAACCGTGGAGTTCTCATGTCTAGACCCAAAAGTTATTTTTTTTTAATTTTTCTAAAATAACTGAAAAAATTGCCAATTTTCATGATAGAGGTATGCTCTGCTGAGAGAAAGCGAAGAGTTCTGGCCTAGGATTTAATTGTATTGCCTAGACATCTAAATGATCTAATAGAAACCGCGGAGTTCTCATGTCTAGACCCAAAAGTTATTTTTTTTTTGAATTTATCTAAAATAAGTGAAAAAATCGCCAATTTTCATCATAGAGGTATGCTCTGCTGAGAGAAAGCGAAGAGTTCTGGCCTAGGATTTAATTGTATTGCCTAGACATCGAAAAGATCTAATAGAAACCGCGGAGTTCTCATGTCTAGACCCAAAAGTTCATTTTTTTTTGAATATTTCTAAAATAAATGAAAAAAAATCCAATTTTCATCAAAAAGGTATGCTCTGCTGAGAGAAAGCGAAGAGTTCTGGCCTAGGATTTAATTGTGTTGCCTAGACATCTACAAGATCTAATAGAAACCGCGGAGTTCCCATGTCTGTACAATATGGTTTTTTTTTAATTTAGTAAAATTTTTGACAAATGCTCATTATTTCGTTTTCTCTCACTCTTCTTTTTTTTTTTTTGATAATTAAACCTTTTTATTTTTGGATTTAAATTATAGGGAACTGTTACAATTGAAATGATTGTTTTAATGAGACCTTATTTATCGAAATCGGTAAGAAATGCTCTGCTGTGATCGGGAAGCTGGCAGAGCATTTAACGATTTTTAAAAAAAATATTTTCTGGACTTAAAAGTCCAGAACTCTTTCTAAAAACTATCAGGAACTATAGAACTATTGAGTGTGCTGCCAGAACTCAAATTTTTTTGTGCTCTGCTGGTAAGTGCTCTGCTAACTTCACAGACACGCCAATGGGGGGGCATGTCGCGGCACTGAGTGCGATTGTCGTCCAGGTTTTGGGGGTCCGTAGTGTGAAGTAACCTTGGACTGTAGGGCTTCGCCTTGTCCGCATCGGCAGGTAAGTTTTTATGATTATTTTGAGTTAACAATACATTATTGTATCAATTGAAAATAAAATAAATGATTTACTTTATAGATTGGAGGAGTCTTTCATATTCTTCCGACTGGACAGTAACATCCAATGCTGAAGTGATTTAATAATAAAAGATATATTTCTTAAACAAGATGTTTATTTTACCGGACTCATTACTCAATAGTCAATGACAAAAGCTGTGTTGCCAACATAACAAATCAAACTTAGAACTAACGTTATAAATGTAGATACATTGCAGATTACTTAATCTTAACACCCCCTCTCAATGTCTACATTTATCTCTACAAAAAATAAAAAACTTAATACAACTTAATAGCCTCTCTATTTGTATCAAGACAGAAATTCAGTTTATGATACCCTTACCCAACATGACATTTAAAAAGATGCCTTAAGATAATCTTTCTACCCAAGGCTTTTGTGAACATGTCTGCAGGTTGTTCGCTAGTTTGAACATACTTAACACATATTTTATTATCTTTTATCATTTCTCTAACAAAATGATAACGAATATCTATATGTTTTAAACGCTTAACAGACTCGGTTCTTGCATTTATTATGGCTGACTGATTGTCACAGGAAATATTTACTGGGCAAATATTTTGGAAATTTAAATCATTTAATAAATTTATTAGCCAACAAGCTTCACTAGCAGCCATACTCAATGCAATGTATTCCGACTCTGTCGAAGACAAACTTACAGATGCTTGTTTCTTTGAGGACCACACTACCATACAGTTTGAGAGCATAAACATATAGCCCGAGGTGGACTTTCTGTCCTGGAAGTCACCGCCCCAATCAGCATCGCAATAGCCCTCCAGAACTATATCTTTACAGTTATAAGTTAATTTATAGTCTAGAGTACATTTGACATAACGAAACACTCTCTTTAATGCAGCTAGTAATGCATCATTTGCACATTTCTGGAATCTACTCAACATAGACACTGGAAAACACAAATCAGGCCTAGTGCCCGACACAGCATACATCAAGCAACCTATCATCTGTCTACATAACTTCTCAGTATTTTTATCTATAATATCACTGCTACTATCTAATATTTTTGCATTAAAATTGGGTCCATAGGGGTCATCATGGGTTTACAATTCAACATGTTAAATCTTTCAAGAACATTTTTCAAATAATCTCTTTGAGTTAGTTTGGTAATACCAGTTTCCAAATTTTGATTTACATTTATTCCGAGAAAATCAGAAACCAGACCCAAATCCTTCATGTCAAATTCCTTATTTAGTACACTTTTGAGCTGTATAATTTCCTTTACATTTGTTCCAAAAATTAATAAATCATCAACATACAATAATATAAAAGTTTTATCATCCCCGTTACACCTTTTATATAAACATGAATCACAGTTAGACTTTACAAAACCTTCCCTTGTTACTACAAAATTAAATTTAACATTCCAACATTTTGGCGAATTTTTAAGCCCATATAAGGATTTGTTTAGCTTAACTATATTATTGTCACCAGAAAAGGAAGCCTACCTTCTGGCAACCTAATGTAAACATCTTCAGTTATTTCCCCATACAAAAATGCCCCAGTTACATCCATTTGGTATATAGGCTTGTTTAATTTAGTTGCTATTACAACAAACACTCTAAAGGTTGATAATCTTGCTACTGGTGCATAAATATCATAATAATCAAACACATCTTCTTGTTCAAACCCTCTAGCCACTAATCTAGCCTTATATTGTTTAACACTACTTACACCTTTCAGTTTAAAAACCCATTTGCTACTCACCACCTTCGTGTTCACTGGTGCATCACAATAGTCCCAAGTATTGTTCGCTTTTAAGGTTTGCAACTCTTTGTCTATAGCTTCACTCCATTTGCTAGCGTCTTTTCTACTCATAGCATCCTTGTATGTCACTGGCTCACTTTCTTCACTGTATACATTATTACACTTGTAGAATGAGGTTTGTTTTAACACACGTTTGCTTCTTTCATTTAGGACTGGTGTTGTCTCTTCTGATGAAGTTTCTTCATCACTACAAGGTTGATATTCACTTACAGACACACTTTCACACATAGTGATTTCACAGCTATCTTCATCAAAGTTTGTAGGGGTAACTTCTGAGGTTGTTTGAGATTCTTCACCTCCATTATTTTCTTCCTTGGAGTCAAACATTATTATTGGTTCTCCCTTTTTATTCTTTTCTTGTTCCAAGAAAACCACATCTCTCTTTGTATCAACAGTATTCTTCTCCGAGAAATATATTCTATAACCCTTGATGTCTTCCCCGTATCCAACCATCAATCCTTTTTCTGCTCTCTCGCTCGCTCTTTTTCTTATCCCATTTCTTTCTTCTTTCTTTTGGTATATGTGCATACACTCGTGTACCAAATATTTTCAATTCATGAATGTCGAAACTTTGATTTGTCCATACTTCAAATGGTGTCTTCTCATTTTGTTTACTCTTCCCCGTCCTATTTAGCACAAATGCTGCTGTATTTACTGCTTCTGCCCATAATTTCTTTGGTAAGTTCTTTGCATACAACATTGTTCTTGCTGCTTCCACCAGGGTTCTATTTTCTCTCTCAGCCTTCCCATTTTGTTCAGGTGTATATGGTACTGTTGTTTGGTGTATAATTCCACGTTTTGAAAACACTTTTTTTTAACTCCTTGTTGACGAACTCGAGACCGTTGTCAGTTCTAAACATTTTTATCTTATTCCCAGTTACATTTTCTGCCTTATCAATGAAATCTTCAACACAATTCTTTATCTGGTCTTTTGTCTTGACGAAATAGACACAACGGTAGTTTGAGTAGTCATCCTTCAGTATAACGAAATATCTGGAGCCACCAACAGACACCTCCTCCATTGGACCGCAGGTGGCATGAATGAGCTCGCAGGTTTTTGTGCTGACATGATCGCTTTTACCAAACGGCAACCGGTGTATTTTACCCTTCAAGCAGCTCTCACATACAGAAGAGGTTAGTTCTGTGTTTATGTCCTTTTGCTGCAATACTTTTTTCACATGATCGAAGTTCTGATGTGCTAATTTTTCGTGCCACTCATTTAAATCATTGTTTACTGTTTTAGCGACGCTCGCCACCTCGCATTTATAGCGTAAAACCATGTAATAAGAGTTCCCAACACGTTTTGCAATCGCACAAACACTATCGTTTTTGTAAAACTTGCACGAACCGTCATCTGTCATAATAACGTATCCTTTGTCTATGGCACGATTTACAGAGAACAAATTGGTTTTCAATTCCGGAACAAACAAAACGCCATCTAACGTAGTGTCAATCCATTCAGTGCCATTATGCACTTGCACCGCCATCTGTCCGCAGCCCAACACACTTATCGCCGCTCCATTACCCACGATAACGGATCTTTGAGAATCACTTGAAAAACTTGAATAAGACATAAATAAAGCACGGTCGTAACACATATTATGTTCACTTGCCCCAGAGTCCACCAGCCACTTGGATTCTAGATTTTGTCCACTCGACACAACAAATGCATTACTTTCTTTACTCTTTTTACTCTTCTTATTGTCTTTTGTCATTATTTTATTCTTCCTGAACCAGCACTGCGCCTTACAATGTCCAGCTTTGCCACAATAAAAACAGTTATTATTGTTCATTTTTTTCTTCACTGTTATTTTTATTGTTCTTACTTCTACACTCACTTTGAACATGTCCAAGTCTCCCACAGTTGAAACATTTTACACCACTCCTGTTCCGGGCAATAAATGCAGATGATGATGCCTGCTCTGGATCATAATTCTTCTCCTTCACCCTTTCTTCTTCAACTAACAACCTGGCCACTAAATTGTCAAATGTTTGCTTATGGTCAGGTGCAGACTCCCACGCTGAGACAAAATGTTTGTATTGGTCCGGCAGAGACATTAATATTTTTGTTATAACAAGCTTGTCGGAGATCTCTTCACCCAATTGCTTTAACTTGTTTTGCATTTCTTGAATCCTTGACAAAAATACTGACATCTCAGTCCCCGCTTCATATTTATATTAAAAAAATCTCTGCTGTACAATATGAATACTGGTCTCTGACTTTTGCTCGAATACACTTTGTAGTTTTGTCCACATGTCAGCCGAGGTTGTACAAGAAATGATGTGTAGCATAACATCCTCGCTCATCCTTGTCACCAACAATGTTTGAGCTTTAGCATCCTTTGCTTCCCAGGCAGCTTTTTGACCAGCTTCCTCTGGTTTTAAAATTGTTCCTTCGACTATGTCCAGCCAACCATAACCTCGCAAGAGTACGGTTGTTTGAAATTTCCAGATGTTCCAGTTTCTGGAGCCTTCCAGCTTAATAACACTGCTGTTGTTGCTTCCCTCCATCTTGCCTTCCTGCCTTGACCTGCTAGGGCAAGTATTCTTCCTTCTCGACGGGCACGCGTGTCGCGTTGTTAGGTACACTTAACCTTACTTTTCTTCACGCCGATATTTTAACGCCGATATTAACATTTGGCGCATATTATTAAATCACAGTTACGGTTTCGTGTCTAGGCGCACCTGGGCCCATAACCTGAAGTGATTTAATAATAAAAGATATATTTCTTAAACAAGATGTTTATTTTACCGGACTCATTACTCAATAGTCAATGACAAAAGCTGTGTTGCCAACATAACAAATCAAACTTAGAACTAACGTTATAAATGTAGATACATTGCAGATTACTTAATCTTAACAAATGCAATATTGTATTCCTTTACAAAATGACATCTTTGACATTCAATTGTTCGAAGTTCTTCAACTGAACGACCCTTAAATATTTCACTTGGAATATATCCAGGGATAGCAGGATCATAACAATGAAGTAATGCACCACAACCACCGCAGCCAACATTACTAATAGTGCTTGTTGGGTCCGGTGTTCCATACTGTTTGGTCCAGTCATTTTGTAATTCATCTTCATCCTCACAAAGCTTAGTATCATCAAAGTGTTCATAGTTGGTCATCCATTTGCTAATGTTTGAGTGATCATATTCCTTAGTTTCATCAATAGGTACATCTTTTAGTAAGACTCTTTCCTCTAGTATGTCAACTGGAGTAGTTTTTGCAAATGGTTATTGAAATACAGAGGTCTGATCAGATGGATCCTCCACAACTTTTTCTTGCAATAATTTGTCACTGTTAACATAATATTTTAAAGATATATGTAAAGGTTGTAAAGTTTTATTTCTAAATTCTTCTATCTGATAAAGTATCAGATAAATTTCAAATTTATGCTTAAACAAAATCAGTCTTCCCGCCTCTTCAAATACTTTGTCAAACTATGAAAACAAAGGCACGCTGGTTTCCTCACGATTTTATCCTTCACCGTCCGTCCGTCGATTAGTGTTGTTTTGAATATTTGAAATGTTAATAATATTAAAATATTATTAACACACGCCTAAGCGAATAAATAAATAAATAAAAATATTTTTTACAGGTAAAAATTGAGAAATCGACATCGAAGAGTGCGAAAGTAATCCATGCAAATACGATGGCATATGTCTCGAACGAAGTAATACAAGTTTGTACCAGACGCCCGATTCTCCACCCGTGCTAGTGGGTCCGCAGCCGCATATGCTATTACCACAAGTGTTTTATCAGCCGTTCTCACTCGAAAATGCTGGAGGGTAAGTTAAACTAATAACTAGTCCCCTTATCTCACAAATACACCGATAACCAAGTTCAGGGTTTAAAAAAATCTCAAAATTTAAACAGCCTATGTTGACCTCATGAACAACAAAATGGCGAATTTATATTATTACTAGCTGACCGGGCAAACGTCGTTTTGCCATGTATATAATTTATAATAAAAAATAGGGGTTGATCGTAGAGGGGCGAAAATTAGGGGTTGTATGTATTTTTTAATGCTGTATCATAAGTATCATAAAAAAATTAAAGAAACATATTTAGGGGTGGACTACCCTTAACATTTAGGGGTATGAAAAATAGATGTCTGATTCTCAGACATACCCAATTTCATGAGAATCGGTCAAGCCGTTTCGGTGGAGTTTAACTACAAACACCGCGACACGAGAATTTTATATATTAGATTATTCGTTATTATATAAATAGATTATTCAATACTAATAGTACTTTGTTTTCAACCTTATTCTCATAAAGTCGGTTAAAAAAATGCTAAAGTTTCTATACAAACTCATATCACAATTCAAGATCTTACTTCAACATTTTTTCTTGGTTCACATAAATTATTCTATTATTAAATCAGGGTTATTTATTTCAAATAATATGTTATAAATACCTATATAACTAATCAATCTTATATGTGTAAATGCATTTATAAAATTGAATTTTGCGGGTAGTATGGCAAAACGCAGAATGAAAAGGAATAAAAATATATATATATTCTCCACCCTCAGATATAAATAAATATTGATTATATGTATTTGCAGTTTTGAGTGTGTTTGCGTGACCGGTACAACTGGACCTCGTTGCGAGATAAATATTGACGAATGTGAATCGTCCCCTTGCGGACACGGCAAGTGCGTGGACGGTATCGGCGAGTACCGGTGTGAGTGCGCGCCCGGGTACGAGGGAGAACATTGCGAGATTGAGATCGATGAGTGCCTTAGGTAAGGTATCAGATAGTAGACGATTTGCTTAAGTCCATATAAGAATTATTTTAATTCAGAGTTGTAAGAAATATATATATACTGCTCAAAACAATTAGCGGAACAAGATTTTTCTCCTTTCTATTGCTTAAACTAAAATTAGATTTAAATTAACTTGTACGCTATTTTTTACCTTGTTAATTTGTTAATTACTACAATTAATAAAAAAAATCAATTTGTATTTTTTTTATTAAAAAAAAATTAAAATGTGCATTGTAGACGAAAAACTAATTGGTGATAAAAAAGGTCCATCAAAGAAATATTCTTATATCGTTTGAATATTGGTCTTTAGTGACTTTCAGTAACGTGTGTGGCCTCCATGAGCCCTAATCACGGCTTGACAACGACGCGGCATGCTTCGTATGTTCCTCCGAATATCTTCTTGTGGAATTCGCTCCCATTCTTCAATCAACGCTTCAGTCAGCTGCTGCAGTGTTTGAGGTGCAATCGGACGCTTCCGGATGCGCCTGTCAAGCAAGTCCCAAATGTGTTCAATTGGATTTAGGTCAGGGCTCATGGAAGGCCACTCCATTACACGGATTTCCTGCTGTCGTAAGTAATCTGACGTGATGCCTGCAGTATGCGGCCTGGCATTATCTTGCATTAAAAGAAAATCTGGGCCCATACCATATGCTGCGGGCCAAACATGATCTTCGAGCACATTTTCAATGTAAGTTTGAGCACACAAGCGCCCGGGAACAACGACGAGATCTGTGCGCTCGTCCAAACTAACTCCGCCCCAAACCATCACAGAGCCACATCCAAATTTGTCATATTCCTGGACTGCTGCTGCACTGTATCGCTCGCCTGGGCGTCTGTAAACACGGAGACGACCATCGCAACGTGTTAGACGGAATCGTGATTCGTCAGTAAAAAGCACTGGCCTCCAATTTCGAAGTTGCCAATTAGCGTGATTTTGCGCGAACTGTCGGCGAGCTTGTCTATGTTGAATTGTTAGACGCACAGCCCGAACTGGTCGGCGTGATCTCAAATTGGCTTTCAACAACCTATTTCTTACCGTCTGGTCGGAAATTTCTACACCAGTAGCCGTCCTTAGTGTATTTTATAGATCTCTTGCAGTTGTGGTGCGGTTACGTAAAGCACAGTTGACGATGTAGCGATCTTGCAAACGTGTAGTTTTTCTCTTTCGACCTTGACCACGCCTTCGTGAGTATTCTCCCGTCTCACGGTATCGCTTCCAAAGTCTGTAGATAATAGAAGGGGCTACTCCTAGATCATTTCCTACATAACGCATAGTTCGACCCTCTTCAAGCAAAGCGATAGCTCGGGAGACATGCAATTCAGTCAGATCTGGCATTATGACCTAAACTCACTCGCTTCAATGAATAACAATACTCAAAAGGCTCACTTCAATTTCTATTAATACTCAAAAGATTGAAAAAAACTACTTAAAATGTGTTTTCTGTGATTAGAAAGTAATGAAAATTCAAAGACGTCACTTTGTTTTTCGTCTACAATGCACATTTTAATTTTTTTTAATAAAAAAAATAAAAATTGATTTTTTTTATTAATTGTAGTAATTAACAAGGTAAAAAAAGCGTACAAGTTAATTTAAATCTAATTTTAGTTTAAGCAATAGAAAGAAGAAAAATCTTGTTCCGCTAATTGTTTTGAGCAGTATATATATTCGAAGCCTTTTTTCTTTTTTTTCTAAGCGAACTTAAACTTTCAACTTAAACATTTAGACTTAAAGCTAGTTTCCATTTTAAAAGTACTACGAATAGTTCGTTCTTATTTATCGAAAAAATGGATTGGTGGACGAACAGGCACGCGCCATGCGCTCACGGACGTTGCTACGACGGGCACGCGTCGTACATGTGTCTATGTGAACCGGGTTGGGGTGGACGAAACTGTTCAGTTGTTCTACGAGGCTGTGCAGATTCACCCTGTGCTAATAGAGGCAACTGCCTTCCTTGGCTCGCCAATGAGACAGACCATCGCTTCAACTGCTCGTGTGCGCCGGGATTTTATGGGACCACGTGTGAAAAGGTAGATAACAATCTAAAAACACTAAACGTTTTTTTACAATTGATTGTTTCTTAAATCATAAAACTCTACTGGCATCCGCGTTATTTATAGCGCATTCATACTTAGTTAATATATGGGGACTTGGGATAAATGAAATGTTTTTATATACTTTTTTTATACAATTGTTAGATTTGGGGAAAATGACATGAAAAATACCCGTGAGGGTTTCCAGCAAACATAGCAAACTTAACACTTTCAAGACAAACTTTATCGAAATACATTTCTTTTTTAAATTTCTATAATTTTACATCTTTGTACAACACTTTTTATTAGATACGATATGTACTATTAAATGTAATGTTATTTTTTCTTATATATACACATAAATGTGAAAGTTTAAACTAGATATAATTTTGTTAAGTAGTGTTGACCTAGTGACTGTGCACGAATGGACTTTCTTTCTATGTGCGTATTTAACATTCGCTCGAACGGTGAAGGAAAACATCGTGAGGAAACCGGCTTGCCTTAGACCCAAACAGTCGACGGCGTGTGTCAGGCACAGGAGGCTGAGGCTTACCTATTAGTTTGACAAATAATCACTAAACAGATACATAAATCTGACTACACCTAATAAGGTTGCAGCGCCACTGATTTTGTAATATATAGTTTTGTTAATATACACTAAGCAGTAAATAAAAGTAAACCAAGAATCCTCTAGTCGTGAATGTCATAATTTTTTTCAAGTTAATAAAAATCCCTGCCTTTAGTATTTCCGAACCAATTCGACTTCAAGAAAAGAGCTTACCAATTCTTAAAATGGCGGCAACGCCAGCCTTCCGCCAATGCGGCAGTATCACTTAATATTAGATGGGCCTCCTGAATTATTTTTGAATGATTGACACTAACTGTCGGTTAGTGAGAGGTAAGATCGGTTTTAGAGAAAGCATTGTGGGGTGCCTTTCTCGAACCTAATTTCGCTGTTTTGCTGATGATTTTTCTTTTTTTTCTGCTTTAAGTGCCAACAAATTTCTATAATTTTATTTTATTGTGTGCTTGTATTATCGTAAACGTTTTAATTGTATTTTTTAATTTCTATTTTTTTTGTGAAACTTATGTTTACATTATTTTAGATGTAAGATTTTGTAAAATAATTAGTAGATTTAGTACTGTGTGTGATGTCATAAGCTTAACAACTAAATAAATAAATAAATATTAAGAAATGTTAAAAAAAAAACTGACAATACTGACGAAATTCGATGCGTACACATTTTTTTAACGGGAAATATGATTCCCGTTTTTGACGTCATAGTCATAGTTTGAAGTTATACTTAGCGTTGTCTCGACTCTGCATATAACATTCAATTATACTAATTTCATTCAATTTGAATTACAATGTTTAAAAATAAGACTTATCTTGCATATTACAGATAACAACTATGTCTCTGGAAAAGAGTAGCTTTGTGGAAGTGAACACATCGCGTGAGGAAGGTTATGACATCTCTTTCCGGTTCAAAACAACCCTCGGAAATGGTCTATTGGCGATGGGTCGCGGTCTCACGTACTTCTTCTTGGAGTTGTCAAATGGACGACTGAATCTTCACTCCAGTCTATTGAATAAGTGGGAGGGAGTTTTCATTGGATCCAATTTAAATGATAGTAATTGGTAGAAGGTTAGTGAATCAAAATCATATTTATTGTGAAATCGTGGTTAGAAGGGCTGACAACATTTTTTTATTTACACATGTCAATTTGTATTTGTGTTTTTGTAATTAAACACCTCCTAAACGTCTGGACCGATTTAAATTAAACTTTAATTTAAGATTTAGGTTAAGATCAAAAACTTTATGATTATTTTGTATTAAAAACGTATGTACATACAAAGAATTATCTCTTACAAATTGCGTACCTATTCCAGATAACTGGAAAACTGTATTAAAATGGCTTGACTTAGCAGCTAAACTTGCCGTTTAATACTTTTATTTAGTAAGATATATACATTTAAATTCAGGCTTAGCAAAAAATTTTCTACATATGTGCGTAATGAACAACTGTTTCCTTATAAATAAATAAATAAATTTTAGCCCAAAATTTATTCAATTATTATTAGTATAGCTTTTTATTTTATTTCCTGCCCCTTTCTCCATTGTTGTAACAGTAATTTAAATTTAAAACAAACAAATTATTTCAGGTTTTCGTAACAATCAACTCGTCACACGTGGTGCTATCCGCAAACGAGGAGCAAACAATATACCCGATTAGTCAGAATGAAGCCTTCAACGCTACGGTGACGTCATTTCCGTCGACACGGCTCGGTACGACGGGCTCTTCGTACGGAACGTTAACGCACGGACCGAATTTCTTCGTTGGATGCTTTCAGGATGTCGTCGTTAACCAACATTTGGTGAATATTTTTCTTTAAATGTTATCTAAAGTACTCCGATAGTGAATTGTATCTTATAAGAACTTGGAGAAACGGATCGTGGTTGGTAACACAGATGGCCGTCCACCAAATCATTGTCATCAAAACTATACATTGTCGTAAGAGAGGCGCTGGACTGAAACCAGTGGAAACAGATTATGATGATGCTTCCTTGCTGACCACGACGCTCAGACTTGAGCTACCGATTGAAGAGTGAGAAAGGACTTTAATTGCAATGGGCCGTGCGATTGCAACGGTTATTATCAGTCCCGGTCATAGTTCAAGTTAGGGAGTTATTAAAAAAAAGTGCGTACAAAGTACACATGTCAGAAGTGAAATTTCTTTGGAAAACTAATTTTTAACTCTTGTTTATATTTGTACAAATCTAAAACTTTAGATATCCGAGACTAGAAAGTGTCGAAAATTTATACAAATAATAAATTTAATTTTTTAAATTTACTTCTTTTATAATAAAAACACATGGCATTTTAATTTACAATTCGTCATTTGAGATTTCAATAAATTATTTTGCATAAAATATAAAATACTCACATTTCATAAATTCTCCTTACGAAATTTTAATTTTAAAAATAGAATTTCACTTCTATTTCACTCAATCGGTCTCAATCGCTCTCTCCCTTTTCTTCGACAAAAACGCTGCACATCTTCGTCACGTTCTGTAAAAATTTTACCCTCATGCGCCTAAAGAAAGAAGTTTCACTTCAAAAATCATTTGTGTTCTGCCTGGGGTAGGACTGTACGGAGCCGAGTGGTTTAACCCAACATGGAGGGCATGGTCGGATTTTGAGGGGCCAGCGGAGCCCTGCATTGGAGACCTTAGTCAAAGATGTATCAATATTCTTTATATATGTAATCTGTTTTGGCTTTCTATATTGTCTGTGTTTTGTTTTATAAGTGATTGTGTGATTTCTCCTTTTCTTTCTTTCCATAGAAGAATGCAAATTGATAGCTACAATTCTACTTAGAGCTTGTAAAACACTATAAAATCAACTTATTTAATGGTTTTAAATGTTTTCAGGTACTTCCAGAAGATTCGAATACAACTGTACCTGAATTCAGCACGGAACGTGTGGGGTCAGATTGGGGTAAGAAAGAGACAGAGGAGATAGAAACAGAAATGGATCCCGAGGGTCAAGAAGATGAAGGTCCTAGGGTGGTGTTGAGAGGAGTTCTTGCGTCCTGCCCCCGAACCCCGCAGTGCGAGCCTAACCCATGTCACTCTGGGGGCCATTGCGAAGACCACTTTCGTGTGTTCATGCCCCCGGCCGTATTTGGGACATACTTGCCAGTATAGTGAGATTTTTTCAATGAGACATCACATTACAATCTAACCTCAAGGATAGTTAACATAAGAAAATCTTAATTAAAAGCTCTGTTCTTGTGTTCTTTTTTATTTTTACAACTGGCTAGCACTTAACACTAACGTGTACTAACACTAATTTACTAAAGCAAACGGTTTTTATCTTTTCACTCTTCTCAGTAATTTAAGAAAGAAAAATAAAAAAAATGGATCTGCAAGCTATATATTTTTTTTTTATATAGTTACTTAGTGATACAATGCACTTGGTAATAAGTCTTCTTTATTACGTATATATGGAAGAAATCTGTATATATCTCAAAAAATATTTCAATTTAAACTTAGCCCGTTACCTAAGTTACAATATACTTACTTTAATGAAAAAATTAACGGATCATCTCGATATGACTTAGTTAAAAAAAAAACTTGTGGACTTAGGGAATTTAGCACACGCTTGTAAGCCAACATAGTTCATCATACTCAAATATTTTCCGATTCCAACAATATCTCATACACACCCTTTTTTAATAGGTCTAAGCAATATCTATTATGTGTGATTGTTAAATCGCGCAAATCTATCAAAAATTATTAAAAAGTAACCAGTGGCGCTACGTTTTAGGTCTGGGCCTCAGATTGATGCATCTGTTTCGTCAGCATCGTCTTTTCTTATATGTTAACAGTGTTCTGTGCCTGACACACGCCGTCAACTTTTTGGGACTAAGGCACACTGGTTTTTTTATAAATGTTTTTTCTTTATCGTACAAGTGAATGTTAAATTGTCATAAAGTCCATTTCGCAAGTGTCGCAAGCTAAAGCCAGGTCAAACTGCTCTTAAAAAATGATTACACCATGCATACTATTTACAGATACTATACCTTGGTGGTCCACCAACACCAATTGTGCCCACCGAATCGACTCTTCTTCCAAACACAACACAAGCGCCCAACCCCGAACCAGACGATTCCGAGTACTTCAAAGGTGTCATTCAAGACGTCCAAATATCAAATGGACTGAATGTAACCATTGTGGAATTTTTCCCTCTGCGAGTCGAGGGCGTGTCCCTCCCCCTCCATTTGGGGAGGTGAAGCTGGACCCGAGTGGAGTTTTAGAGGGCGTAGTGTCGGATGACGTGTGCGCATCTACGCCCTGCCATCATAACTGATTGCCAGAATAAATGATTTTTGAATTTGAATTTAATAATTAGTTTATTTTTGTATGATCTTAATATTTTATGTAAAGTGTGACCATGCAGAATGCCACTAGTCACAGCATGAGTTAAATAAAAGTCCAGGGCAACAGCGGGGCACAAAACTTTTATTAAAATGTGTGATATATATCAATGGTGCTACAACCTTTTTTTAGGTCTGTGCCTCAGATTTCTGTATCTGTTCTGTTATCATTTCTAATAGGTGACCAACCTTCTATGCCTGACACTCACAGAGAGCTTATTGGCTTCATAGTCGATCTAATACCTACTTATAAAAACTGGTTTAAAATTCCTGCAATAAAACCAACCCTAACAAAAAACGGAAAAAGTCTTGAAGTGTCCATATTATAGTGGTTCATAAAACTCAAAATCCGTATTCTCTATATTCGAACTTTTACTTAAATAAAAATTACTGGACACAAATAAAGATATAAAAACATTAGCGGGAAGTATTAACAGACAGAGTTACACAATTTTCCCGCCTTTTTCTCCCCCGCCTAATTACAAGTCACTTTATTAATATAGAAGATCGTTACAATTAGGGCGGCACTTAATTGACGTTAAACAGCATTCTCGGCTTTTATTTTTGTTAATTGCTTTATTTTTAACACTATGTGTTCGTTATATTTTTTTATTAATTTTGTTGAAGATTATGCATCGCGTTTGATTTCAAATTAACGTTTTTTTTTTTTTTTTTTTTTATTTAATTATAAGTAATCTTACAGCTAACATACATAATATTACAAAACAAACACTTATACAGTACAAAAAGCCAAAACAGATTACATAGATAAACAATATTATATAAGAAAAATGAAACAAATAAGCGCATCAATAGACAAAAATATATACAGAAAACTGAAATTTAATATTTAAAACAATAAATAATACCAAATACAACCTAAACAAAATTCGAGTCTTCCCGCCCCTTCAAATATTTTCTCACATGTTCTTTGGTGAGGTGGAAAATATCAATATCCTTATAATTAGTGTCATAGTTAGATAAAACCCGAAACATTGGTAAATTATGCAGGTAATTCGAGTTCGTACGAGGCACGTGGAACAATTTTGTGTGTCTTGTCGCATATGGAGAAGGAATTTTAAAAGAAATTAACGATAGCAAATAGGGGCTATCGATCCGCCCATTAAGAATAGCATGTAAAAAAAGCAGGTCTTGCTGACTTCGCCGACTTTCTAATAAGTCTAAATTAAAATAATTGCAAGAATGTGCATAACTATCGAAGCATTGGTATTTTTTAAAACTAAGGAATTTTACAAACTTTTTTTGTATATTTTTTACTGCTTTTTTATACTTTGTATAATATGGAGACCATATAACACCGGCATACTCCAGCACGCTTCTAACATAAGCAAAATATAAGCTTTTAATGCAATGTATGTTATTAAATGTCTTGCATGACCGCTTGACAAATCCTAGTTGCATATACGCTTTGCCTGTTATGTCATCGATATGTTGTGATAGGCCCATTTTTTCATCTAATAGTATTCCCAGGTCTTTTACTAATTTTACTTGTTTTATTGGGGTGTTATCGATTTTGTAAGTGTATTGAATTTTTTTGTTTTTACGCGAAAAAGTTATCTTATTACATTTGTTTATATTTATTGAAAGTTTATTTTGTTTGTAGTATATTTCTAACCTATTAAGATCTTGTTGAATTTGATTACAGTTATCTATTGATTTTATTCTTAAGAAAATTGTTTGGTCATCCGCGAACATAAGATGTTTAGAAAAGTGAAAACAATATTTTATATCGTACAAATAAGCATTAAATAATAATGGGCCAAGTATTGACCCTTGGGGTACTCCTGATGTAATGTTAGTGAACATGCTTTTGTACCCGCATATTACTGTTGCTTGCCATCTGTTGGTTATGTATGACTTTATCCATCTGTAAAGGTCACCACGTATTCCAAGGGAGAAAAGCTTATGTAACAGGATAATATGATCAACGCGCAATTTGCGTCAATTTGGTCACCCTCATCCATACCTCTCAGTATATAGTCAGTGAAAATAGTCAAATTAGAAACTGTTGAGCGATTTTTAGTAAAGCCGTGTTGTTGCTCCGGTAGTTGTTTAGTGATTAAGGCTAAGTTCAGATGACCGCGCGTAGCCGCGCGTCGCCACGCGGTTGGAGCATTCACATGACGGTATATGTACGCGCGCCAGTGTGGCTTCAACATTGATTGACAATGGACGTGGAGGAGGCAATTTTCTTATGGATTTTATATAGAA